TATTTTCCGAGTTTCAATGACACATCACCAAGGTTCATATTTACTCTAAATTTGCTTCTTTCTTTCCTACATTCCAGTGTATGACTCGTGCGAGTTTAGTGCTTGTCTATAAATTAAATAATTATATTGTACATGCCTTGGTAATTCTCACTGGCTTCAGGATGGACCAAAACATTGTCTGAGGATTTATTCTCAGTTTGTAGGATGGTCCATGATCAGGGTGGTACATGATCAGGGTGGTACATGATCAGGGTGGAACATGATCAGGGTGGTACATGATCAGGGTGGTACATGATCAGGGTGGTACATGATCAGGGTGGTACATGATCAGGGTGGAACATGATCAGGGTGGTACATGATCAGGGTGGTACATGATCAGGGCGGTCCATGATCAGGGTGGTACATGATCAGGGTGGTTCATGATCAGGGCGGTCCATGATCAGGGTGGTTCATGATCAGGATGGTACATGATCAGGGCGGTACATGATCAGGGTGGTACATAATCAGGGTGGTACATGATCAGGGTGGTACATGATCAGGGTGGTACATGATCAGGGCGGTACATGATCAGGGTGGTACATAATCAGGGTAGTACATGATCAGGGTGGTACATGATCAGGGTGGTACATGATCAGGGTGGTACATGATCAGGGTGGTACATGATCAGGGTGGTACATGATCAGGGTGGTACATGATCAGGGTGTTACATGATCAGGGTGGTACATGATCAGGGTGGTACATGATCAGGATGGTACATGATCAGGGTGGTACATGATCAGGGTGGTACATGATCAGGGTGGTACATGATCAGGGTGGAACATGATCAGGGTGGTACATGATCAGGGTGGTACATGATCAGGGTGGTACATGATCAGGGTGGTACACGGTCAGGGTGGTACACGGTCAGGGTGGTACATAATCAGGGTGCTACATGATCAGGGTGGTACATGATCAGGGTGGTACATGATCAGGGTGGTAACACGGTCAGGTGGTACATGATCAGGGTGGTACATGATCAGGGTGGTACATGATCAGGGTGGTACATGATCAGGGTGGTACATGATCAGGGTGGTACATGATCAGGTGTACACGGTCAGGTGGTACACGGTCAGGGTGTACATAATCAGGGTGCTACATGATCAGGGTGGTACATGATCAGGGTGGTACATGATCAGGGTGGTACACGGTCAGGGTGGTACATGATCAGGGTGGTACATGATCAGGGTGGTACATGATCAGGGTGGTACATGATCAGGGTGGTACATGATCAGGGTGGTACATGATCAGGGTGGTACATGATCAGGGTGGTACATGATCAGGGCGGTACATGATCAGGGTGGTACATGATCAGGGTGGTACATGATCAGGGTGGTACATGATCAGGGTGTTACATGATCAGGGTGGTACATGATCAGGGTGGTACATGATCAGGGTGTTACATGATCAGGGTGGTACATGATCAGGGTGGTACATGATCAGGGTGGTACATGATCAGGGTGGTACATGATCAGGGTGGTACATGATCAGGGTGGTACATGATCAGGGTGGTACATGATCAGGGTGGTACATGATCAGGGTGGTACATGATCAGGGTGGTACATGATCAGGGTGGTACATGATCAGGGTGGATCTGTTGTGAAAGTAATGAAGCTTAAGCTTCAGGGTCCCTAATCCTGGAGGGGCCCAAGAAGCGACTTTAATACACATTCCTTAAAAGTTTTGGGTCTATTTTATGAGAAACAGTTGGTAAGGGGCCCCATAACAGTTGGTAAGGGGCCCCATAACAGTTGGTAAGGGGCCCCATAACAGTTGGTAAGGGGCCCCATAACAGTTCAAGATTTATGGCCCCAAAAATGTGAGTCCTCCGCTGTACATTTTATGGGGTATTAAAAAAATACAACTTTTAGAGACGCTAGCTGCACTTTTCAGGTATTACTTGTGTAGTCACAAGAAACTTTTGTGAAAATTTTCAGACCATTTCATGGCCATTTACCCAGCAGCATCACGATCAACTTTTCGTCAAATTATTCACCACTGAAAGCAATTAGTTATAATTTATGGTTTCATAATAAAACAAGTTACATGATTTATAATTTTGGTGGAAGATTGTATAATTAATTATATTTGAGATATCACCAACTGTTTAATTTTAAACTATTACAAGTTATAAGTGAAGTCTTTCTTTGTGCGGAACTTGAGCCTCACTTTCCAGGAAAGTGATGCGATCACCATCTCTTGTCTTCTGACAGTCACTTGTCTTCTGTCTCAGGCACTTGTCTATTCCAAGGCACTTGTCATATTTCCATGTACACTTGTCTTCTGTCCAGTCACGTGTTCTGTCCAGTCACCTTCATGTTGTTAGTTCACCACGTTTTATGCCTCTCTCAACACCTGAGTGTTGGCCACTTGGGAACCTCAGTGATCCAATAATTTCAGACTTGTTGATCTGATGAAGAAGCAATGAGGAAGCTCAATTTTCAATCAGGCAACAGTCATCATGGAATATATCTTGTTTACTTGCCACTTGTAGGGAATCACTACTTGTTTCTTGAGTCTGCAATAGGACCACATTGTCATTCTCGTCCATGCACTGTCATCTCTCGTCATCATGTCAGATTACAGTCCTCGTCAACAGCAACAACATATTTCTTCCATCCTCATCAAGCTTGGTACTTTCTGTCTGTCTGTTTGATTCCTTCTCACTTTTTATCCTTGAGGATTTGTCTCTCACAGGCTCAGTCATCATCGCTACATAACCAAGAACAGCTGATCTGTGTGAGCAAGAAGGAATCTCTTTTCACAGTCTTCTATACTATCTTCTTTTCTTAATGTTCAGATTGTCTCATACTGCAGTGACCGAGACATCTGTTGGCCGCTCAGACATAAGTGCAGCTTGATGTTGGAACAACACTGGAGCACAGAATTTTAAAATCATAATGCAATCTTCACTGTCACTCCATACGGGTCTTGAATGTTCGCCACATCAGTCTAAGGATCCACCATAAGTATTCCACCTTGACACACACGTTGGTACTGTTTCAAGGCAGCAAGTCTCATCAACGAACCTGTGATCACTCCTTGCAAATCTATACAAGTATTTTCTGGTCCAGCAGGATCCTCTCCACCTTGTCATCAAGCACGAAATCAATGAAATTGAGCTGACTTGGAAACAAATAGGCATCTTTAAAAGAGGATCCTTTTATTTGCTTGCCACGTGGATTCTCATAATCTCAGGACCACTTGGTTACCAAATAGTTGGTAGAAAACAACCAGATGGCAGCTCATCACATGAAGCTGACAGATGAAAATGACCGGATGACCTAAGCAATTTTCAAGATCAATGAATGCTCCATCGACATCCTGACTTGGTTGGTCCGTCACATCCAACACATACAAGGCTGCCGAGTATAATATCTGTTCACTCCAGAAATGTATAATAGTCTTGGCAATCTCCTTTCCATGGCCTGACTTGGGAGTCACATGAGCGAGATATTCAGTGCCGGGCTCCACCATGATGATGTAATGATCTTTCACCACTATCTTTGAATTCCATTTCTTGATCTTCTCATTCTTTGTCATTACACGAGTGGAGGTCTTCTTACCATCAAAATACAGTGATGTGATATTTTCCAAGTTTGCTGCTCATTTTCTTGGTTCTCCACTCCACATTTGTGTCTGGCATCTCGTAACTTCTGTGGTACAATAAGTTGACCTTTGTCGTCCTTAGTAATAATGCCATAGTTCATTAAGGTGGTGGTAACAATGGCAGCTCCAGCATAAACACTGAGAAAGTTAGTTAGTGTTTATAAATACTGCAGAGTACATAGATACAGTATATAAAACACTGCGCTGCGCTACTCAGTAATACAGACATATTCAGAAATTTCAGTCGCAGATGCTGTAGGTTAAACCTCAACCAATCAACTTCATATTTGGCACTGAATCTAAGATGTATATAAGCAACAATGACTGAAGAGTGCAACTTTGATCAAAATTTCAGTGCTCCCTACTGTACATGATATGGTGAAGGTCTTTTGATTTAAGGAAACGGAGCTGCCCTTCCATTCACTGGATCAAGTCTCATTACTTCCAATTCCCTATTCGTTCCTCCATAAATATAACAATGATAATTATCTCTGAGTTAAGGATGTCAGGGCACTTATGGCAACACACCAGTTAAATGAATGATTCAAAATTTTCAAATTAAAGTTTATTTGTACATGATACATTGTTGACGGCAATGAAGGGACTTGAGCTAGAGTTCGTCACGGCCACGCTAGCTGGAGATTCGTCTGTAAAAACTTGCATTTGTGGTCACAGTGGTGCCTGTGCTAACCTTCCTATGGTGTAGAAATATACCTAGTTGGATGAATCTTATTGTGGCTAGCTGGTCTAGTGGCTAACGCGACGGGCTGGAGTTTTGAGACTCTCTGACCGCGGGTTCATCCCGGCCGGGGGTATGGTTTATATACAGGAATGTGTAACACTTAAATGCTTGTAGAAAGTTCAAGGTTATATAGAACATTTGTGGCAACTTTAAGCTTAACACTCCAACGACAATAAACAATACATGTATACAAATGATGTTGAGTATATAATGAATGCATATGTATCTTAAATATATCATTGTACATTATTATAATCAAAATTATGTGTTTTCTCCTTCGGGTTACCATAGCTTAGTGGGAGACAACCATCCTGGTAGAAAAATAAAGTCTCTCTTCTGTACATCTGGCCTAACTTGAAAGAGACATATAACCCGTACATAGCAGATAGAAACTTAAGACGATGTTCCAGTCCAACACGAATGTGAGGGAGACAGTATATATAGGAGAGGGAGACAAGTCACACTAACACACCTTCGTGTGTTAGTGTGACTTGTAAATGATCCATGTAAGACCAAAATAGCATCATAATCTTCTCTATCCTATATGCAGGTTACTCGTGCCTCTATGTTATAATTTATAATGTTGAAGTTCAGACAGCAAATTTGTCACCAGGTCGACGTCAGTGTCTGGGTGAGTCTCTGGCCAGGATGGAGTTGTTTATCTTCTCAGCAGCGCTGCTCCAGAACTTCACCTTCTCTCCACCAGCCATGACACACATTGACTTGTCTCCTCAAACACTTCCACTCTCGCAGTTCCCAAAATATCAGGATATTCTCATTACTATCAGGAAGTAGTACAGTAGTATACTGAAGTTAGTTTAATATCTTTGTTATGCACTCACAACCATTATGTGAATGGCAATTATATTTAATTTCAAGGCTGCCCACAATGTTTCAAGGCTGCCCATAATGTTTCAAGGCTGCCCACAATGTTTCAAGGCTGCCCACAATGTTTCAAGGCAGCCCACAATGTTTCAAGGCTGCCCACAATGTTTCAAGGCTGCCCACAATGTTTCAAGGCTGCCCACAATGTTTCAAGGCAGCCCACAATGTTTCAAGGCTGCCCACAATGTTTTCAAGGCAGCCCACAATGTTTCAAGGCTGCCCACAATGTTTCAAGGCTGCCCACAATGTTTCAAGGCAGCCCACAATGTTTCAAAGGCTGCCCACAATGTTTCAAGGCTGCCCACAATGTTTCAAGGCAGCCCACAATGTTTCAAGGCTGCCCACAATGTTTCAAGGCTGCCCACAATGTTTCAAGGCAGCCCACAATGTTTCAAGGCTGCCCACAATGTTTCAAGGCTGCCCACAATGTTTCAAGGCAGCCCACAATGTTTCAAGGCTGCCCACAATGTTTCAAGGCTGCCCCACAATGTTTCAAGGCTGCCCACAATGTTTCAAGGCAGCCCACAATGTTTCAAGGCTGCCCACAATGTTTCAAGGCTGCCCACAATGTTCAAGGCTGCCCAAAATGTTTCAAGGCTGCCCACAATGTTTCAAGGCAGCCCACAATGTTTCAAGGCTGCCCACAATGTTTCAAGGCAGCCCACAATGTTTCAAGCTGCCCACAATGTTTCAAGGCTGCCCACAATGTTTCAAGGCTGCCCACAATGTTTCAAGGCTGCCCACAATGTTTCAAGGCTGCCCACAATGTTTCAAGGCTGCCCACAATGTTTCAAGGCTGCCCACAATGTTTCAAGGCAGCCCACAATGTTTCAAGGCTGCCCACAATGTTTCAAGGCTGCCCACAATGTTTCAAGGCAGCCCACAATGTTTCAAGGCTGCCCACAATGTTTCAAGGCAGCCCACAATGTTTCAAGGCTGCCCACAATGTTTCAAGGCTGCCCACAATGTTTCAAGGCTGCCCACAATGTTTCAAGGCTGCCCACAATGTTTCAAGGCTGCCCACAATGTTTCAAGGCTGCCCACAATGTTTCAAGGCTGCCCACAATGTTTCAAGGCAGCCCACAATGTTTCAAGGCTGCCCACAATGTTTCAAGGCTGCCCACAATGTTTCAAGGCTGCCCACAATGTTTCAAGGCTGCCCACAATGTTTCAAGGCTGCCCACAATGTTTCAAGGCTGCCCACAAGTTTCAAGGCTGCCCACAATGTTTCAAGGCTGCCCACAATGTTTCAAGGCTGCCCACAATGTTTCAAGGCTGCCCACAATGTTTCAAGGCTGCCCACAATGTTTTGCATATCAAGGGGGTCTGTATAAATAATAATATATATTAGTCACCCTAACTGTATAATACACAGGCGGGTCCCGCTTTTACAGCAGGTTAACTGTATAATATACAGGCGGGTCCCGCTTTTACAGCAGGTTAACTGTATAATATACAGGCGGGTCCCGCTTTTACAGCAGGTTAACTGTATAATATACAGGCGGGTCCCGCTTTTACAGCAGGTTAACTGTATAATATACAGGCGGGTCCCACTTATACAGCAGGTTAACTGTATAATATACAGGCGGGTCCCACTTATACAGCAGGTTAACTGTATAATATACAGGCGGGTCCCGCTTTTACAGCAGGTTAACTGTATAATATACAGGCGGGTCCCGCTTTTACAGCAGGTTAACTATATAATATACAGGCGGGTCCCACTTATACAGCAGGTTAACTGTATAATATACAGGCGAGTCCTGCTTTTACAGCAGGTTAACTGTATAATATACAGGCGGGTCCCACTTATACAGCAGGTTAACTGTATAATATACACTAGTCTTCAGAGTGCAGGCACTGTACTTCCCACACTAGTCCTTCAGAGTGCAGGCACTGTACTTCCCACACTAGTCCTTCAGAGTGCAGGCACTGTACTTCCCACACTAGTCCTACAGAGTGCAGGCACTGTACTTCCCACACCAGTCCTTCAGAGTGCAGGCACTGTACTTCCCACACCAGTCCTTCAGAGTGCAGGCACTGTACTTCCCACACTAGTCCTTCAGAGTGCAGGCACTGTACTTCCCACACTAGTCCTTCAGAGTGCAGGCACTGTACTTCCCACACTAGTCCTACAGAGTGCAGGCACTGTACTTCCCACACTAGTCCTTCAGAGTGCAGGCACTGTAACTTCCCACACTAGTCCTTCAGAGTGCAGGCACTGTACTTCCCACACTAGTCCTACAGAGTGCAGGCCCTGTACTTCCCACACTAGTCCTTCAGAGTGCAGGCACTGTACTTCCCACACTAGTCCTTCAGAGTGCAGGCACTGTCCTTCCCACACCAGTCCTTCAGAGTGCAGGCACTGTACTTCCCACACTAATTCTTCAGAGTGCAGGCACTGTACTTCCCACACTAGTCCTACAGAGTGCAGGCACTGTCCTTCCCACACCAGTCCTTCAGAGTGCAGGCACTGTACTTCCCACACTAGTCCTTCAGAGTGCAGGCACTGTACTTCCCACACTAGTCCTTCAGAGTGCAGGCACTGTACTTCCCACACTAGTCCTACAGAGTGCAGGCACTGTACTTCCCACACTAGTCCTTCAGAGTGCAGGCACTGTACTTCCCACACCAGTCCTTCAGAGTGCAGGCACTGTCCTTCCCACACCAGTCCTTCAGAGTGCAGGCACTGTACTTCCCACACTAATTCTTCAGAGTGCAGGCACTGTACTTCCCACACTAGTCCTACAGAGTGCAGGCACTGTACTTCCCACACTAGTCCTACAGAGTGCAGGCACTGTACTTCCCACACTAATCCTTCAGAGTGCAGGCACTGTACTTCCCACACTAGTCCTACAGAGTGCAGGCACTGTACTTCCAACACTAGTCCTTCAGAGTGCAGGCACTGTACTTGCCACACTAGTCCTACAGAGTGCAGGCCCTGTACTTCCCACACTAGTCCTACAGAGTGCAGGCACTGTCCTTCCCACACCAGTCCTTCAGAGTGCAGGCACTGTACTTTTCCCACACTAGTCCTTCAGAGTGCAGGCACTGTACTTCCCACACTAGTCCTTCAGAGTGCAGGCACTGTACTTCCCACACTAGTCCTACAGAGTGCAGGCACTGTACTTCCCACACTAGTCCTTCAGAGTGCAGGCACTGTACTTCCCACACCAGTCCTTCAGAGTGCAGGCACTGTCCTTCCCACACCAGTCCTTCAGAGTGCAGGCACTGTACTTCCCACACACTAATTCTTCAGAGTGCAGGCACTGTACTTCCCACACTAGTCCTACAGAGTGCAGGCACTGTACTTCCCACACTAGTCCTACAGAGTGCAGGCACTGTACTTCCCACACTAATCCTTCAGAGTGCAGGCACTGTACTTCCCACACTAGTCCTACAGAGTGCAGGCACTGTACTTCCAACACTAGTCCTTCAGAGTGCAGGCACTGTACTTGCCACACTAGTCCTACAGAGTGCAGGCCCTGTACTTCCCACACTAGTCCTTCAGAGTGCAGGCACTGTACTTCCCACACTAGTCCTTCAGAGTGCAGGCACTGTACTTCCCACACTAATTCTTCAGAGTGCAGGCACTGTACTTCCCACACTAGTCCTTCAGAGTGCAGGCACTGTACTTCCCACACTAATTCTTCAGAGTGCAGGCACTGTACTTCCCACACTAATTCTTCAGAGTGCAGGCACTGTACTTCCCACACTAGTCCTACAGAGTGCAGGCACTGTACTTCCCACACTAGTCCTTCAGAGTGCAGGCCCTGTACTTCCCACACTAGTCCTACAGAGTGCAGGCACTGTACTTCCCACACTAGTCCTACAGAGTGCAGGCACTGTACTTCCCACACTAGTCCTTCAGAGTGCAGGCCCTGTACTTCCCACACTAGTCCTACAGAGTGCAGGCACTGTACTTCCCACACTAGTCCTTCAGAGTGCAGGCCCTGTACTTCCCACACTAGTCCTTCAGAGTGCAGGCACTGTACTTCCCACACTAGTCCTACAGAGTGCAGGCCCTGTACTTCCCACACTAGTCCTACAGAGTGCAGGCACTGTACTTCCCACACCAGTTCTTCAGAGTGCAGGCACTGTCCTTCATACCTCCAGGACTCTGGATTACAAGGTCACATAATGGGTCCTGGTACTGGGCCAGGACTCTGGATTACAAGGTCACATAATGGGTCCTGGTACTGGGCCAGGACTCTGGATTACAAGGTTACATAATGGGTCCTGGTACTGGGCCAGGACTCTGGATTACAAGATCACATAATGGGTCCTGGTACTGGGACCAGACTCTGATTACAAGGTCACATAATGGGTCCTGGTACTGGGCCAGGACTCTGGATTACAAGGTCACATAATGGGTCCTGGTACTGGGCCGCAATATTTGTGTCTGCTGGGTACTTAACAGTCATGAGTTTACAGTGGTGAACTTTAAGAACATAAGAACATAAGAAAGGAGGAACACTGCAGGAGGCCTGTTGGCCCATACTAGGCAGGTCCTTTACAATTCATCCTACTAACAAAACATTTGCCCTACCCAATTTTCAATGCTACCCAAGAAATAACACAAGAAATAAGCTCTGATGTGCAAGTCCCACTCAAATCCAACCCCTCCCACTCATGTACTTATCCAACCTAAATTTGAAACTACCCAAAGTCCTAGCCTCAATAACCCAACTAGGTAGACTGTTCCACTCATCAACTACCCTATTTCCAAACCAATACTTTCCTATGTCCTTTCTAAATCTAAACTTATCTAATTTAAATCCATTACTGCGGGTTCTCTCTTGGAAAGATATCCTCAAGACCTTATTAACATCCCCTTAAAGACCTTATTAATATCCCCTTAAAGACCTTATTAATATCCCCTTTAAAGACCTTATAAATTACCCCTTAAAGCCCTTTATTAATATCCCCTTAAAGACCTTATTAATATCCCCTTAAAGACCTTATTAATATCCCCTTAAAGACCTTATTAATATCCCCTTAAAGACCTTATTAATATCCCCTTAAAGACCTTATTAATATCCCCTTAAAGACCTTATTAATATCCCCTTAAAGACCTTATTAATATCCCCTTAAAGACCTTATTAATATCCCCTTAAAGCCCTTTAAATTAATATCCCCTTAAAGACCTTATTAAATCCCCTTAAAAAACTTATTAATACCCCTTAAAGACCTTATTAATATCCCCTTAAAGACCTTATTAATATCCCCTTAAAGACCTTATTAATATCCCCTTAAAGCCCTTTAAATAATATCCCTTAAAAACCCTTTATTAATATCCCCTTAAAGACCTTATTAATATCCCCTTAAAGACCTTATTAATATCCCCTTAAAGACCTTATTAATATCCCCTTAAAGACCTTATTAATATCCCCTTAAAGACCTTATTAATATCCCCTTAAAGACCTTTTTAATATCCCCTAAAGACCTTATAATACCCCTTAAAAGACCTTATTAATATCCCCTTAAAAAACCTATTAATACCCCCTTAAAGACCTTATTAAACCCCCTTAAAGACCTTATTAATATCCCCTTAAAGACCTTATTAATACCCCTTAAAGACCTTATTAATACCCCTAAAGACCTTATTAATACCCCTTAAAGACCTTAAAAATATCCCCTTAAAGACCTTATTAATACCCCCTTTAAAAGGGACCTTATTAATATCCCCTTAAAGACCTTATTAATATCCCCTTAAAGACCTTATTAATATCCCCTTAAAGACCTTATTAATATCCCCTTAAAGACCTTATTAATATCCCCTTAAAGACCTTGTTAATATCCCCTTAAAGACCTTATTAATATCCCCTTAAACTTTGCTACAACACATTACAATACTGTATCACTATACATGGTTACTGTAGTGCATTGCATTTTTGACTTAGAGAAATTAAAGTGAATGTATATAAAATAAAGAAAATTATATTTTATTTAAGCCTTGTTTATATAAGTGTAGTATTATGTTGGTTCTGCAACACTGCAGATGATCACCATCACTGGAGTTTCAAACATAACATTGAAAAACAAGCTGCTCCGGTTTACAGCGCTTCACTTGACATTGTTTCGTTAATACAGCAGTTTTCACCTACAAGTCTTCTTTATTTATTCAGACTTGCTACAGTAAATATATTCACCAATCACTATAAGCTAAGGACGAAATATTTTAAGGTATGCCTGGAGAGGGTTTCGAGTATCAGCGTCCCCGCGGCCCGGTCTGTGACCAGGCCTCATGGTAGACCAGAGCCTGATCAACCAGGGTGTAACTGTTGGCCGCAAGCAAGCTGACGTACGAACCACAGCTGGCCAGGTACTGACTTAAGGTGCCTTACCAGCACCTTCTTGAAGACAGTCAGGGGTCTATTGGTAATCCCCCTTATGTATGCTGGGAGGCAGTTGAACAGTCTTGGGCCTCTGGCACTAATTGTGTTGTCTCTCAGTGTGCTCGTGGCGCCCCGGCTTTTCATTGGGGAATATTGCATCACTACCGAGTCTTTTGCTTTCGTAGGAAGTGATTTTCGTGCTCAAATTTGGGGACTAGCCCTCTAGGATTTTCCAGATGTATATTGTTATGTATCGTTCTAGTAAATTAGGTGCTTTATCGTACTTACACATGCCATGAAAGTTCTCTGGACATTCTGCAATTTCGCCTGCTTTGAAAAGGGCCATTAGTGTGCAGTAATATTCCAGCCTAGAGAGAACAAGCAATTTGAAACGAATCATCATGGGCTTGGTATCCTTAGTTTTGAAGGTTCTCGTTATCCATCCTATCATTTTCCTAGTAGATGTGGTAGATACATTATTGTGATCCTTGAATTTGAGATCCTCTGACATTAACACTTCCAGGTCCTTCACATTAGTTTTTCGCTCTATTGTATGATTGGAATTTGTTTTACTCCGATACACTTTTAATTTCATCGAATTTTCCATATCGGAGTAATTAAAATTTCTCTTCACTAAACTTCATATTGTTTCTGTTGCCCATTGTAAGATTTGGTTGATGTCTGCTTGGAGTCTTTCAGTGTCATCGATTGATGACACTGTCATGCAAATTTGTTTGTCATCCACGAAGGAAGATACGGTGCTGTGGCTGACATCTCTGTCTATGTCAGATATGAGGCTGAGGAACAGTATGGGGGAGAGTACTGTGCCTTGTGGAACAACTTTTCACTGTAGCCGCCTCAATTTTTACTCTGTTTACTGTTACCTTGGTGTTGTGTTTGTCAGGAAATTATAGATCCATCTAGCAGACACAATTATGGAATAAATTACTTAAGGAAAGAGATTCTCTTAACTATTCATGTATGTCAACTAATTACTCGAGTTTCTTGAAGGGAAAAATGATGCCAAAAAAGACACTTGTAGTACATGAGGCTGATATAAGTTGCAGAAAGTTCCAGATAATTATCACATATAAATTATAGTAGTGGTTCACTTTACACTTACTATAAGGATGAAAATATTTTAAGTAATATGTGTGCTATAAATGAATTTTATAGGCCTACCTTTACTGCTCACTTAATCTATGATAATATAAACGTGTTAACAGCTTTTATATGCATTTAGAAGTAAAAAAAAACTATAACTCACTTTACAGCAGTATCTGGGAACTTAACCTGCTGTATAAGTGGGGCTCTCCTGTATAACCTGCTGTATAAGTGGGGCCCTTCTGTATAACCTGCTGTATAAGTGGGGAACTCTTGTATAACCTGCTGTATAAGTGGGGCCCTTCTGTATAACCTGCTGTATAAGTGGGGCCCTTCTGTATAACCTGTTGTATAAGTGGGGAACTCTTGTATAACCTGCTGTATAAGTGGGGCTCTCCTGTTTAACCTGCTGTATAAGTGGGGCCCTTCTGTATAACCTGCTGTATAATGGGGCTCTCCTGAAATAACCTGCTGTATAAGTGGGGCTCTCCTGTATAACCTGCTGTATAAGTGGGGCCCTTCTGTATAACCTGCTGTATAAGTGGGGCTCTCCTGTATAACCTGCTGTATAAGTGGGGCTCTCCTGTATAACCTGCTGTATAAGTGGGGCCCTTCTGTATAAACCCTGCTGTATAAGGGGGGCTCTCCTGTAAAACCCTGCATAAAGTGGGGCCCTTCTGTATAACCTGCTGTATAAGTGGGGCCCTTCTGTATAACCTGCTGTATAAGTGGGGCCCTTCTGTATAACCTGCTGTATAAGTGGGGCTCTCCTGTATAACCTGCTGTATAAGTGGGGCCCTTCTGAAACCTGCTGTATAAGTGGGGCCCTTCTGTATAACCTGCTGTATAAGTGGGGCTCTCCTGTATAACCTGCTGTATAAGTGGGGCCCTTCTGTATAACCTGCTGTATAAGTGGGGCCCTTCTGTATAACCTGCTGTATAAGTGGGGCCCTTCTGTATAACCTGCTGTATAAGTGGGGCTCTCTTGTATAACCTGCTGTATAAGTGGGGCCCCCTTGTATAACCTGCTGTATAAGTGGAGGCATTCCTGTATAACCTGTTGTATAAGTGGAGCCTTCCTGTTTAACCTGCTGTATAAGCAGCAGCCTCATGTAAAATGTGCTGTATAAGCGGGGTTCTCTTGCATAACTTGCTGTATAATCGGGGCCATCTTGTATAAACTGCTGTATAAGCGAGGCCATCCTGTATAACCTGCTGTATAAGTGGCACACTCTTGTATAACCTGCTGTATAAACAGGGCCCTCTTGTGTAACCTGCTCTCTAAGTGGGGCCTTCCTGTATAACCTGCCTTATAAGTGTGGCCTTCCTAAATAAACTGCTGTATAAGTGGTGCCATCCTATAAAACCTGCTGTATAAGCAGGGCCCTCCTGTATAACCTGCTGTATTATCAGGGGTCTGTTGTATAACCTGCTGTATAACTGGGACCCTCTTGTATAACCTGCTGTATAAGTGGGCCCTTCCTGTATATCCTGCTCTATAAGTGGGGCCATCCTGCATAACCTGCTGTATAAATATGGCCCCTGTATAACCTGCTATATAAACAGGGGCCTCTTGTATAACCTGCTGTATAAGTGGGGCCTTCTTGTATAAGCTGCTGTATAAGTGGGGCCATCCTGTATAATCTGCTGTATAAGTGGGGCCATATTGTATAACCTGCTGTATAAGTGAGGCCTTATTGTATAACCTGCTGTATAAATGGGGCCTTCTTATATAACCTGCTGTATAAGTGGGGCCTTCTTGTATAAGCTGCTGTATAAGTGGGGCCATCTTGTATAACCTGCTGTATAAGCGGGGCCTCTTGTTTAACCTGGTGTGTAAGTGGGGTCTTCTTGTATAACCTTATGTATAAGTGGGGCCTTCTTGTATAACCTGCTGTATAAGTGGGGCCTTCTTGTATAACCTGCTGTATAAGTGGGGCCATCTTGTATAACCTGCTGTATAAGTGGGGCCATCTTGTATAACCTGCTGTGTAAGTGGAACCATCCTGTATAACCTGCCGTATAAACGGGGCCCTCCTGTATAAACCCATTTTTTATCATATTTTCTGTTACATAATGTATTCGGTTGTTAGTGTTAGAGTATTACATTTCTTTTATCAATTATATCTATTTCAATTCTATCTCAAAGGAATTTATAAAAAAGATATATATGTATTTCACAGATATAAAACTTGACCACACAAACTTAAACTTGACTGCACAAACTTAAACTTGACCGCACAAACTTAAACTTGACCGCACAAACTTAAACTTGACGGCACAAACTTAAACTTGACCGCACAAACTTAAACTTGACCGCACAAACTTAAACTTGACCGCACAAACTTAAACTTGACGGCACAAACTTAAACTTGACCACACAAACTTAAACTTGACCGCACAAACTTAAACTAGACCGCACAAACTTAAACTTGACTGCACAAACTTAAACTTGACCACACAAACTTAAACTTAACCATACAAACTTAAACTTGATCGCACAAACTTAAACTTGACCGCACAAATTTAAACTTGATTGCACAAACTTAAACTTGACTGCACAAACTTAAACTTCACCGCACAAACTTAAACATGACCGCACAAACTTAAACTTGATCACACAAACTTAAACTTGACCACACAAACTTAAACTTGACCACACAAACTTAAACTTGACCGCACAAACTTAAACTTGACCACACAAATTTAAACTTGACCGCACAAACTTAAACTTGACCGCACAAACTTAAACTTGACCGCACAAACTTAAACTTGACCGCACAAACTTAAACTTGACCGCACAAACTTAAACTTGACCGCACAAACTTAAACTTTACCACACAAACTTAAACTTGACCGCACAAACTTAAACTTGACCGCACAAACTTAAACTTGACCGCACAAACTTAAACTTGACCACACAAATTTAAACTTGACCGCACAAACTTAAACTTGACCGCACAAACTAAACTTGACCGCACAAACTTAAACTTGACCGCACAAACTTAAACTTGACCGCACAAACTTAAACTTGACCGCACAAACTTAAACTTTACCACACAAACTTAAACTTGACCGCACAAACTTAAACTTGACCGCACAAACTTAAACTTGACCGCACAAACTTAAACTTGACCGCACAAATTTAAACTTGACCGCACAAAATTGCTGGGCAGAAAACATGACTTACAATCACTACAAACTGACATGAAATTTAACTCACAAAAACAACATGCACGACAAATTTAACTCACAAAAACAACATGCAGACAAATTTAACTCACAAAAAAAAACATTGCACGACAAATTTAACTCACAAAAACAACATGCATGAAAAAATTTAACTCACAAAAACAACATGCATGCAAATTTAACTCACAAAAACAACATGCACGACAAATTTAACTCACAAAAACAACATGCATGACAAATTTAACTCACAAAAACAACATGCATGACAAATTTAACTCACAAAAACAACATCATGAAAAATTTTAACTCACAAAAACAACATGCACGACAAATTTAACTCACAAAAACAACATGCATGACAAATTTAACTCACAAAAACAACATGCATGACAAATTTAACTCACAAAAACAACATGCATGACAAATTTAACTCAAAAAAACAACATGCATGAAAAAATTTAACTCAAAAAAAACAACATGCATAAAAATTTTAACTCACAAAAACAACATGCATGACAAATTTAACTCCAAAAACAACATGCATGACAAATTTAACTCACAAAAAACAACATGCATGACAAAATTTAACTCACAAAAAAAACATGCATGACAAATTTAACTCACAAAAACAACATGAAATGACAAATTTAAACTCACAAAAAACAACATGCATTGACAAATTTAACTCACAACAACAAAAATGCATGACAAATTTAACTCACAAAAACAACTTTTGAAACGACAAATTTAACTCACAAAAACAACATGCATGAAAAATTTTAAAACTCACAAAAACAACATGCAGGGACAAATTTAACTCACAAAAACAACAGCATGACAAATTTAACTCACAAAAACAACATGCATGACAAATTTAACTCACAAAAAACAACATGCATGACAAATTTAACTCACAAAAAAAACATGCATGAAAAAATTTTAACTCACAAAAACAACATGCATGACAAATTTAAACCCCCAAAAAAAACAACATGCATGACAAATTTAACTCACAAAAACAACATGCATGAAAAATTTTAACTCACAAAAACAACAGCACGAAAATTTTTTAAAACTCACAAAAACAACATGCATGACAAATTTAACTCACAAAACAACATGAAACGACAAATGATATACAAATGTTATAAAAAATCAAAGTTGCATATAAAAATTAATGTGAATACAAATTTTTTTTGAAAAAATCACTGCAGACGACGACATGTTTACTCTTGTTCTTGGTTAATGATGTTATTAATTTTAAATTAATATTATTATTACATTATTTTATTATTATATTATGCATAAAGATAAAATAAAACAATAATAATGAATAAATAAATTAATATAAAATAGTAACAGTTTTTTTTAATTATTGTAATAAAATATATAAAGTATGAACATAAATTATAGTACACAGAAGAAGACAAACTGGATGTGAGAATGACGAAAAAAAAATATCTGTCACCAAGGTTGGGGACCTAGAAGAAACCCCTTCCACCATCACTCAGTCACTAGGGCCTTTGCAAAGACGACATTATTTTCTGATGACCTTATGAACTGTGTACATACACACACACATACATACACACACACA